AATGTCACTTTCTAATATCCATTTAATAAATCAATATGCTAACTTATATGTTTAACTTTGAAATTTCATTAAAAATATAATGATGTTTTCTTTTTCAGGTTTGCATCTTTGCCTATGGTCAGACCGGGTCAGGGAAAACATATACAATGATGGGCAGGCCTGGACATCCAGAGGAAAAGGGCTTGATACCTCGTTCATTAGAACAAATATTTCAAACAAAGCAATCTCAGCAGCCTCAAGGCTGGAAATATGAAATGCAGGTAACTTCACAAATATTTTCTTCTTAAATTCATCCATCATTGCAATGTATGTTAAATTTTTTAATAAAATGTTGAGAAGGTTTTCCTTGTGAAATCTACAGGTGTCAATGTTGGAAATATACAATGAAACCATTCGTGATTTGATATCTACAAACAGATCATCATCAGATGCAACACGCACAGAGAATGGTACTCCTGGAAAACAATATACAATCAAACATGATGCAAATGGCAATACACAAGTTTCTGATCTTACAGTAGTTGATGTTCAGAGTGCTAGAGAGGTTGCATTTCTTTTAAATCAAGCTGCAAATAGCAGGTAACTAGTTTCTAGTGTTTATTCTGTTTGACTATGTCTTGTATCTGTTGTTGTTACATCTGTAATATCCCCCAAATGAACTAACCAATTTATAACAAGTATTATATAGCTACACTTCTTGATGTACTTAGGAAATATTTTTTTATTGCTTTGTAATGGGATTAAGAGAAATGGACAACTGATTTGGTTAAACACATATTGACACGTGTGCAAAAAAAATATTGATTTTTTTATGTTGAACCTAACTATTTAATTTTTTTCTGCTTTTCTCCTTTCAGATCAGTGGGAAAAACCCAAATGAATGAACAATCATCAAGAAGTCATTTTGTATTCACTCTTCGAATATATGGTGTAAATGAGGTATAGATGTTTCTCTCACGATAATAACTAAAACCACGTTATATATTCTCTATTTAATTTTCATCTCAACCTTCCATAGACACTGACTTATGCATCATAATGCAACCTATTTTGTCTTTCCATCAGAGTACTGACCAACAAGTACAAGGTGTTCTGAATCTTATTGATCTTGCCGGGAGCGAACGTCTCTCAAAGAGTGGTTCAACTGGAGACCGGTTGAAAGAAACTCAAGTATGTAAAGCCATGGTGCTTTTCATTTTCTCTTGGGCTGCTTGATTTCAAATAGTTTAAACTCTATTTCATTTGTAACCAGGCAATCAACAAAAGTTTGTCATCATTGAGTGATGTTATATTTGCCTTGGCCAAGAAGGAGGACCATGTGCCATTCAGAAACTCAAAGCTTACATATCTACTTCAGGTAATTCATTCTTGGTGCATGTTTGGAAGAGCTTTTTGGCAGAAAAATAATTGCTTATTTGTCAAAAACTCTTTTTACAAAGCTGACAAAATAAGTGATTATTTCTTCAAAATAAGCTGAACCAAACGTGCACGTTTTCTTTCACATAGCATTTTTTTTGAATCTATAGCACTACATTTCAATAATCTGGGATGATCTAATAATAATGTTTTGAACGTGATGTTTGAACAGCCTTGTCTTGGTGGAGACTCCAAGACACTAATGTTTGTGAACATATCACCGGATCCTTCTTCTGTTGGTGAGTCACTATGCTCACTCAGGTTTGCATCAAGAGTCAATGCTTGTGAGATTGGAACACCGCGTCGCCAAACCAATGGGCGTTCTATAGAGTCTCGCTTGAGCTATTTCTAATCTTCAGAATGATGTATATGCTTGTTCTTAACCATTGTTGGCAACAAAGTGCCTGTGTGAAGACTCTACAATAAAGAAAAATGAGTTTGATTCTAACAACGGCATATAGCTTGTATAGTGAATAGTTCAATTTGTTGTTCTGCTTAATGTTATGTATTTATTTATAACATTTCTCTTATATAAATTGAAAGGCAGATTTTTCTGATAATAGAAGAAATAGTGTAATAAATTGATTACAATCATTTGTTTATCCACACACGCGTAAGCGCTGTTTGTTCATCCATATAAGCAGAATTTACAAATTGATTGAGTTAAAAAAATCATGGTGCGAACTAGGTTTTCTTATAATTTAGTATAACTCTTTAGAATACTATACAAAGAGACAATAAAACACATGTAGTGTACAGGTAATACATGCTATATTTTGCGTAACATATGTGGATATGCGATATTCATTAAAGAAAGTTGGTGCATGTTTTAAAATAAAAATCATGAAAATAATAACTTATTTTTTAAATTTTTTTTCACAAATTGAAAAAAATAAAATCATATGTGCATCTACTTAAATTCTACTTTTAAATTTAACTCAATTGTATTTTTAATCCTTATACTTTAATGTATTTTTTAAAAGTTAGTAAATCGCTTCGTTGATACAGTAAGCTAAGGGGCTTTTGATTTAGAGGTCCAACACACATGGGTTGATCACAATCTCCCCTTCATGTTGCGCCCAATTTATGTTATGCAACCCAACAAGTATTTGTGTTTGCATATTTAACACTGATACGCACTCGTTAAAAGGGATCACAAACCATTGAGCCATACATATATATGATTACAATAATTTTACAATCTCCAACGTTTATATCATGTTGGCACATCTTGTAAGTTTGCTCCCATCCCATGGTTGTACATAACCTGCAGCTATGCGTTATATGATCAACGACTATTGATACTAATATTAGCTCAATTACTTGATGTTATTAGACTCATCAGAAATACACATATTTTTCAAACACACTTTCTTTTAACTTTGTTTTATCTTCTACATTGTTTAATATCATGAATTGAGTTCAAAACGACATTTTGTACTAAGGTTTTTCTCATGTTCTCCTTCCTTTCTTGTTAATGACTTTATTTTTTTTAATCAGATCTTCATAGATAACCAATCCAAGGGGTGGGAAAGGACACTTTGAATGACTTGGTATTTGATGTTGTGTGCAGCGAAGGGAGAAGAAGCACAATGTTGGAGGACAGTGACAAGTATACTTTGGTTGTGATCGGTTATTTCTAACAATCAATGGTCGTGAAGGAAGATTGTTGCTTGTTTAGGGGTACTATTTTTTGTTCTTTCAAATAATATTTTGATACTCGAAATATATATAGATTCACGATGAAAAGAGGTTAAACAAACAAAGAGTTGGTGGGTTAAAATTTGGTAAATCATAAAAACTTTACTCTGATTGCTTGGCTATGATTAATTGTGCAGCAAAGAGATTTATTATACGATTTTTGCATGATATAATTTCACAGTGAAATATGAAAAAAAGAAGAAGAAAATATTAAGGGAGAAGAAATTCTATTCCAAAATACTGGTGCCATTAAAAGAAATTCTACTGAAATCCATTTTGATAGTCTTTCAAACAAGCTCTTAAAAAACCTCTTGAATTTCACACTACACATATGTTGAAGAATGTGTGAGAGAGGTTGATAGAATTCCTCTTAACATATATTTTGCTCACAAGATCACTTGTATTTGAGTAATTGTTTCTTCTACTAAAGGAAATTAACGCAAGAGCAAGATATAGATCATTTCACCCCAAAACTTTGGTGAGTCTTTCCAATGACGTGCAAATTAAGTATACTTAATACGTTAGCTGATAAGCTTAACCATCCTTAGTAGTTTCAATAGGTGGAGATAAGGTTGATTCACTATAATATAATAATGATGATACATGCATACTCAAATACAAACCAGGATGCATGGCCTACACGATACATGCTAGAGTCTCTCACATGATAGTGTTTAATTGCATGTTACTCTGTCGTTAGAATTTGGAATATAAAGAATCTTTGGTTGTGAAAATTACATGAGATATCCAAATACGTATCTAAAAGAAATTGCAAGTTCCCCACAACAAAGAGAAACCTTAAGGTTCAAGATTTTGTAGCTAGCCTACCAAAAATGATTGACTAGATTCCATACGTATCTAAAAATTATATTTTTTAAAAATACTAGCAATATGTACTGTTTAATATATTTCTTTAACACACTTTTAATTATTAATTAAAATTTATTAAAAATTAAAAAATTACATGAATTTATTTATTTTTATTTAATGTCTTCAAGGGTATTACTAGTATATTTTTTCCTAATATAAAACTGGTTCATCAAGATTTAAATCAGCAAAAGATAAAAGAAATCCCCGAACTTCAAATTAAATGATAAGAAGTTGCATCATCTTGTATTAACCAGCGGCACAAGGATAAGTATGTGTAGTAGATATAATGTGATGCGTGAATATAATATTTTTTTAAAAAATATAATATGCATACGGAAAAACATTTTAAATTAAATTTTATTGTTTTATAAATTATTTATATTTTATTAATTTATTTTTTAATATATATATATATATATATATATATTGCCATCATTATTTTATTATTATTTGTCTTTGACATTTGACTTAATTTAAAAATATTTGTGCAATAAGTATATTAACAATAATTATTTCTTTTTTTTTTCTTTCTCTTTTTTATTTGTCAGCAATGATAATTGTATGGGCAGGGTCTATTCCCCACAGCACTAACAGTAAACCAGAAGTTGCCAATATTTCTTGCGTTTTTTTTTTTTTAATTTCTTTTTTTGCATGTCAATTTTACACGAGTCAGTGAGCAAAGCTGACAACTAGCATGATGTTTTATTCAGTTTGACAAAATTTTGTGTTATTTTTAATTTGTATTATTATAGATAATAAAAGTGTTTGTCTAACTATATAGTTTTTATTATTAGGCCTAGAGAGCATATGACCATAAAATTAGCTAAAACAATGGTCTCCGCTATATTACGTTGTTTTTATCCTTCACAATCAATTTAACAAATGTATTATTCAAGAGAGCAATCTTCTTTTTTTGACAATTTCTTTTATTTCTTAAATAGTGTTCTAAAGATACTGATTAACATTTAGCTTTCTATATAGCTCACCCTTTTGAAGAAGCAGAAGAGAAAGAAATGGAAGGCCAACAGCTCAAAAGGTCCAAGGTTGTGAAAATTGACTCAAGAAAATCATGGGAACACCACATCACTGATGCCACAAAGAAAGGCAAACTTGTGAGTTTCATTTATTTTCTGGTGATTCATTAAATTATAAATCAGGTTGCATTTATAATTATTGCAATTAGTTGGTTAAGGATTCAGCTTCAGATAGCATTAGCAATGTTTGTGGTCATGTGTAGCATAGGTCTGTTCATAGCCTTGTTACTTAGCCTAAATTAATTTGCAGGTTCTGGTTCATTTCTCTGCTTACTGGTGCATGCCTTCTATAGCTATGAATCCTTTCCTTGAAGAATTGGCCTCTACCTATCAAAGTATTCTCTTTCTTAATGTAGATGTGGATGAGGTTAAGGTAATTTACATGCATAACATATGGTGGGGAAGGTTTTATTTCTTGATTTTGTGTTTATATAAAACTATTTGGCTCTCATATTTTCAATTCTTCTATTTCGATGCCCTTGCTCTCTAATACCACAATGAATCATGTAAAGGGTTGTCCCAAAAAATATTTCTTAATTGTTTATTTTTGGATTCCAATCCAAACTTTGAGGTCAGGTGGGCTGTGATTATATAAGCGAGCATAGTATCACTAGAGCTGAATTATAATCTATTCTCAAGAAAAAGCTCATATAGGTTTGGAGCCTTTAACTTATATAATAATGGCATTATTGATCATTAATATATTTAAATGTATAACTTTGCAGAGTATATCACAAAGTGAGCAAGAATAATATCTTTTGTTATCCTTTTTGGATATTTCAAAGGACAAATTCTATGCACGTTTGCTGAGTATCATTTGCATTCATAATTTCCTTAACCACCTTTTGTTCTACTGCTATATGCAATATTTTTGGTTCTATATGAGAAAATTGCCTCCAAGTGGGAAATCATGTCTACCTTTATTATAATGAGTGGAGAAATTCAGTGGATAAAACTGTTTCTTTTTGGATTCCAAATCAAACTTTGAGGTCATGAGGGCTGTTTTTATGTCAGCGAACATAATATTAATTATATCTAATTTAATCTCAACAAAATGTAGCTAGATTTCAAGCCCTCACCTTATCATAATGACATTATTTATCATAAAAATAATTAAGTGCATATGATATCAATTTGTGACTTACAATATTATCTAATCCTTTTTGGGAGGTTTCAAGAGACAAATTCTTTGTATAATTGTCAAGTGTTGTGACTTTGTGTTCATAATTTTCTCAATCACCTTTTGTTTTACTGTTATGTGTATCTAACTAGGAAGTTGCCTCCAAGTTGGAAATCAAAGCCATTCCCACCTTTTTGTTGATGAATGGAGGAGATCCAGTGAATAAAACCGTGGGTGCAAATCCAGACGAGATAAAGAAAAGGATCAATTATTATGTTCACCAAACACATTCCCAAAAGTCAATATGATGCATGAACACATGAACAGAGTTTGCCACAGTTGTAAATAAGACCTATTAATTTGTTTCTTTTAAAAATAATAAAATAAACAGGATTCCTTTCTTGTATGTTACAGATTCCATGTAATAGTACTTATTGATCTTTCACTATTTGTAAAATGTTTGGTGTGGAGATAGAACAGTGTTGGTGTGAAAGGGCAAGTTATTGTATTGTAAAAGGGTATTTTAGTGTATTAAATTTCTTCATGATGCTGGTTTTCTCTTTTAATATGTCTTGTGGCGAATCATAGAGAGCTTACCAATCAAACATGATTACCAAGTCATAGGTCAAGTTTCAAATCAATTAGTTCAAATTCATGCAACTTAAGTAATCAACACAAACACCCATGATTTGCTGACCTATTTTTTCGTGTCAAATTTCCTTACATGGAACATTTGAGATTGAGAGGGACAAGTAGTTTCAAATTCCAGTTGCTGTATGTGCAATTTTTGAAAAATCGAATTGGATTGAATGGAAAGAGATGAAGTGTGTGTATATATAACACTATGAGATCCGATGAAGATAAATATTAAATTTGAATATTTATATTATTTAATAATTAATTAATTTTATATTTAATATAAGTATTTAAGTTTAATAATTAATATCAATAAATTTTAACTCATACATGTACATAAATATACAATTTCAATTATTATAATATTACTACAAAATTATAAATTTAAAAACTATAACATAATATTATAAAACAGTTAATTATAATACAATGATTAAATACTTTATATAATACAATAAAAATCATTCCATTAGAGAAATAATAAGCAAAATATTTTATTTATACTATTTTATTATATTTGTTTAGATATAAACTATAAAATGTTACTATCGTATCAATAATAGAATTGTTTAAGCTTAACTTGTACAATCAAATTATAATAAAGGTGCATTAAATTCAAATATAGTGTAATTAATTTTTTCTATAAATAAAAATTTAAATATATTTGTTCATATTCTGAATTTCTTTATTTTATTTGATTTTAAATATCTATTTATTTTTATGTTATATTAGTTTTTTTTATTCATAAAAATAAAGGATTCATTTTAACAATTTTATTCCATAAAAATATTTTAAGAAGATACATAATATAATTAAAAGAGTATATTTTTAGTGTATTATTTTTTTTATATTATAAATTAATTAAATTGATATCAATATATTTCATTTCAATTTATTTTAAATAATGAAAAAGCTTCTGTTGGAATCCCACTAATCATACATTGTATATGTATTAAAAGCAAAAATTTAAATTATCATTTCTATATAAGCTAATGAGAAGCTTAAAGTATTGATTTAATAAATACGGTATAATATATTAATGAATAAAAAATATTTATAATAAAATGTTTAAATATAGATGAGGATTCTCCATGAATTTTATACAAGGTAATATATTTCAACATTTAAAATATAATTAAAATTTTAAATATGTACATATCATAAAATTAATGAAAAAGGATTTTTCATCCCATTATATTTTAATTATTGATTTAATACATCAAAAGTCTGTTTTAAAAACAAATATTTCTTTAAATTTAAGCTGGAAAATCGGCGAAAGCACATTTTTGTTTGCAAAAGTATGAAGCCCAGGCCCATATTAAAGCCCAATACGAAGTCCAGGGCCATTTTTGTCGTAGAAGTTGAAGACGAAGAATTTGATCACCACTTGCCAGTTGCCACCAATTTTTCTCATCTCTCAGACTAACACACACGCAGATTCCCCTTTTCCCAGAAATTAATTAATTAATTAATTAATTAATAATAAATAACCTCTTTTTTTCCCTTCTTCGTCTCTGAACTTCAAAACGTGCAAGCAAACCCCACAGTCCCTGTTTGTTTCCCAGGAAAACCAAAATCAGTTTTTCGTGCAACAAAATCCTCAATTTTCCGGGAACCAAAGACGCACAATGGTTTCCCGGGAAAACAGCAATTGGCTCTTCGATTACGGCTTGATTGACGATATTCCTGTCCCTGATGCCACCTTCACTGTTCCTTCCTCTGGCTTCTCCTGGCACCCGCAGGCCTTGAATTCCTCTTCGAATGTCGGGTACTAGCAGATCGTTTCGCCAATTGCGTTTTCCTTTCTTCTTTTTTCCATGCACACTTTGATTTTTCCCTCTTTCGCTGCTTGACAATTAGGGTTTTGTGTCGTGCCTGATTGCTTTGCTTTTGTGAATTTTCAGTTTTTGGATTTTGTGTTTAATTACTTAATTCTGAAGTTCTGCGCGTTGTAAAATTTTCTCTGTTTATGAAAGAAGTGTAATTTTCGTTTTTATTATTATTTTTTAATTTTTTGAATTGCAGTAGTCACAGGTAGTTGTAATTTATTTTTTTATTTTTTTAAAAAAATAGATTTATTGTGTGGTAGAATTTATCGGTTTGGGTCTGTAAATGTCTGGTGGAACTCGTGATCAAAATTAATTCAGATGCCTCGGGACATTCTTACACGTGCAAGTTTAATTGATTCTGCAACTTTCACATTGCTTAATTTTCTCTGTAAAACATCCATTGAATGCATGCTTCTGCACATTGGTCCGTACATTCTGTGTTTCTAGAACTGTTGATTGCCCTATAATTATGTTTTTTGATTGACATTTATGGTATTTGCAAGTTGCATGGTTTGGTTATTTTCTGAAGTCATTGGATCGACTCACATAGGACTCGAGCTTGTTGGATGAAATGAGGAAAATGCTTCAGGCATAATTTGTAACCGTGAAAATTCTTCTGTGCAGTTATAAATTTGTCGATGCTCTATGGTATTGAATATTGGGGGTAGTTAAAGTGCTAATGAGTGCAAGAAATAAATGTAGCAGAGATGGGAATAATGAAGTGAATGAGTGGATAAGTGCAATATTACTTGAAAAATATTTGAGAGAAAGTTGCATTGTAGGAGTAGCACATATTGAATAGAAGAAAATGAAACTCATTTAAGGTGCTTTAGTCATTTCAGAAGAAGACATAAGAAAGCTTTAGGGGATACCCTTTCCTAAATGGTCCTAGTCAACCCCACCTAGTGGGATAAGTCTAGAGTGAAGTTTTTCATGGATTGTAAGTTTGAATGAAATAATTGTACCAGAATCTTGCAGAGTGCTTTTGCTTGACAATTTTTAGGGGGCAGGGTAGCGGATTGAGTCTGAGAATTTAAGTGAATGGCTGATTACATATAAATTCAAGAAGGGTTTTTCTATAGAGGCCTATGGAATGTGGAATGCTGCTTTTGTTACTATTCTTGATAATTTATTCTTTATATTTGTGATGCACTTATTTCAATTCCATTTTACTGTTAGGCGATTATTTTTTCCTTTCAAAGACGTGTATATTTGTGATATAGGCCTCATACATTTTGTTCATGCAACATGGCTGCTGACATAATTCATAACATAATACATTATCCATGACTCTTGCCTCTCCACTTGTATCCCCATAAAAAATGATTAATTTTTTACCTGCTTTTCTTTTTACAATAATTATTATCTGCTCCTAGTGTTGACATTGATGGTTCAATGGGGGATTCTGACGGTTTCAAAGAGTCTGGTTCAAAGAAGAGGTACGCAATTTCTATTCCCCTTTGATTTTTGTTGAATAAAATATATTTTTGATAATAAAATGAAAAGTTAAGGAATCAACATGTGTAGCCACTTGGAAATCTTATTGTGAACATGAATTTCTGAAGTTCTTTCTTCACTTTATTCAAATGATGAAGCTATTGAAATTTGCTGTTAATCAAGAAATCAACATGACAAATCCTATTGCATTGCATATATGTTATCTTGTGCAAGTATAGCATTTTTTTCCTCAAATTTTTGGCCAATCTTCTATTTTCCCTGTCTTATATTATTGTTGGATCTTTTGTATATCTACATATTGTCATTTATTAATTACCCTAAAAACTGAGTGACCCTATCTGGATAGCTTATCCTAGGAGAAAGTTATTCTCATTCTCTTGTTTGTTTCCTGTTGCAGGGTTAGATCTGAGTCATGTGCTGCTTCTAGCTCGAAGGCATGTCGGGAGAAGTTGCGAAGGGATAGGCTTAATGACAAGTACAGTCTTTAAATCGAAATTCCAACTATCCCCCCTCTGTCTTTCAATTCTCCTTGTGCATTTTTATGTAAATATGTTGCTGAGTCATTAACTTAATATGATGGACATGGTTAGGTTTGTTGAATTGGGCTCCATTTTGGAGCCTGGACGGCCTACCAAAACAGACAAGGCTGCTATCCTGGTTGATGCTGTCCGAATGGTGACACAGTTACGAGGTGAAGCCCAGAAGTTGAAAGACACTAATCTGGGTCTTCAAGAAAAGATCAAAGAGTTAAAGGTGACTTTTCAAGTTATATTCATATTTCAATGACTTCTGGGGAGTTTTGTATTCTAGATTACGTAACTTTTTTCCTTAAAAGTAGTTCCTAATGATGACTGAAAAACTCACAATGTTAACTGTATTGAAAGCAAATTCTGTGTTATGTAGGCTGAGAAGAATGAACTTCGTGATGAGAAACAGAGGCTCAAGGTAGAGAAAGAGAAGTTGGAGCAGCAGCTGAAATCTTTGAATGCACAGCCTAGTTTCATGCCTCCCCCTGCTGCATTTGCTGCGCAAGGCCAACCGCATGGCAATAAGTTGGTACCTTTCATTAGCTATCCAGGAGTTGCAATGTGGCAGTTTATGCCACCTGCTGCAGTGGATACCTCACAGGATCACGTCCTCCGTCCACCAGTTGCCTAAGCTGGCACTGTATAATTCTCTGGGCTTCCATTTTGGCCCAAGGTTGTATCCATTTACCAATACCTTCTTGGCATTGTTAGTTCTCTTCTAAGTATTCTTCTAACTGGACCCAGTGGTGACTTCTGACTGTATGTGGCATATGATACTCTTATGATTAATGCTGGTATTTGCGTGTAAATGTTAATAAACTTGTCTGGCTATCTTCACATCTGTTTTCATTGTTGCTGCTGGGTTCTAAGATAATCCAATGTCTGGATGACATTTAAAATTATTTCGGTTTAGGCTTACAAAATAGGGAAGAGTGCATTCTTGCTAGTAGGAATGTTTTAACAATCAAGGAAGCAATAAAGCTATGGTGATGTAGTTTCAAATTTGGTGCAGCCATATTTCCTTTTGTAAGCTAATGAATGGAATTCTAATTATTGAAATTTGAAAGTTTCTCAACTATAAATATGCGTCATGTGATGCGTGCGGTGCTACCAAGGTTGAAGTTCATAGTGTCTCGGTGAAAAGCTTATGCAACAACCCTACACTTGTCTGCAACATGGGGAGGCTTGGTACTTCTGAATTTAACTGAGGCTCTGAGCTACCGTGACGATAGTATCTGAAAACGGCTTTGAGACAACTCTTGAATATGAAAATAATCAAACTTAGGCAATAAGATTGATTGAATTGGAGAAATCGAACGGTATCAATATTTGTATTAATCCTTCATTGTTGTAAGCCTGTGTGGCCTGTTGTGGCCTTGGAATATAGACCCCGTTCGTCACTTCCCTAGAATTTCAATAGCGGAAAGGTAAAGAAAAGCATAATTATATTTCGAAGCCCATATTGTTTCATCCTATCTTTTATATTCAATCTACCCAAGTTTCCAAACCATCAAATCTGGCATGCTCAATACACTCAATTTACATACATCTATATTTTCCCTCCTCATATCACCTCAACCATTTTAAAAGCATCTACCCGAGGCCAACTGTTTCCCTCAAAGCCAATTCCACACCTACCCAATCCTCCCTCTACTCTAAATCCACTTAAGCATCACTCTCAACAACCACAAACCAATAGAGTAACTTGGTGATCCCATTAGCTTTGCGGGTTCATTGGTTCATTTGAAGTGGTCCATTCTTTTGAGGGGTTTGAGGTAGGTCTTGAGCAAAAGAAAAGGAGTCATTTTTAAATGTTAGAGATGGGGTTGTCAATTCAGGTTTAAGGCCATCCAAACCATCGTTGAAGTTCATCAGGAATTTGGCATTTAAAGTGACCCGGAAAAGTGAAGTTTTTTACTAACACCAACAGCGTGGGAAACATGTTTGTGTGTGTCAACGAATGTATGGCATGTTATCCTACAAACCATTTTGCATAAGAAGTTAGGTTGTTTTGGGAGGGTAGTCTAAAGTTTTTGATAATTTGCATACAATATAATTACACATCTAAGGGTAAACCTTGGTGCAATGGTAATACATCATATAAATAATAACGGAATAGGATTTTGAACGGTTCTTTCTTCTGTCCCTCAAAATCTTTTATTTCTGCATCTTACATTCTTAATCCATTAGTTTGCACGCTTGTTTTCCCAAAATAACTTCATTTTCTTTATACATAGGTACATATAATTGATCTACAAATACTCATACTTACAATACGGCTTCGAGAGAAAAAGAATTTCAACTGGAGATATATATAAAAAAAATTAAAACAAGAAGGGAGCATCTTGCCATATCATTGTTGTCACTTCTTTGTCATGGATGGGCATATGCTTTGATGAAGTCCTCTCATTTTCATCTTCCTTTATATGCAGATACCATTCCTTCAACTCATCAAAAAGGTCACATTTTCTCATGATCCAATCTATGATGCCCTAATGTGACAACTCTTGATGAAGTAATCCGAAAAGTCAATATACTTGGTCCACAATGGCCTTAGATGGGGAAAAGCTATATCTAGCCATGGCTTTGCCCTGCCATTGAAATGGATGACACCAGCACTCTCAGCATCAGCAAAACTTGAATTTTCCTGATATCCCAATCCCAGCATGTGCCAGAAAGGATCAATAGTGTGGACATGCCCATGGAATGCTATTAGTCCAGGAGGTAATGTCCCTAGCTGCCACAAACTGAGGTCGGATTTTATATTCTGCAAAAAGCATAATATAAAAAGTGTATTATTGTACTATCTTTCTCCATTATGGACTCTCGGATTTTAGTTTTAAATATATAAAAAGTAATTTACTGTTACATTTTTTTCTTTACAATATTATAGCAGGATGGAAAGTGCATATACCTGCTCAACCCAGTAATGGTATCTAGAGCTTATATTGGTTTTCCTCCAAGCCTCCAGGTCAAAAATGTTCATGCCATAAGCCCAAGCACATTCATTTGGATCAAAATTTTTGTATATTAGAGGATGGGAGAAGTTCAAATAGCTTTTCAACCTCTTTGACATCACAAACTTATCTTCTCCTGTGCATGTTTCTACTGCTCCATTGACTTTTCCATTCATGTCAATGTCCCACAGAGGTGAAAGATCAGTTTGTACCACAATGTCATCATCGAGGAAGACGACCTTGTTAAGACTTGAGAACAACTGTTACGAAATATGTATTATGGCGGTAAGCATCACAGGCAAAAAAGGCTAATAATAGGTCATACAGAAGTAATTTTAGTTTGTATTGCTTTTGCTTTTACCTCTGGAAGATGTATCCGAATGTGATTCATCACAGAATTATACTTGGGACTAAGTGCTTGCAACTTTGCTGCAATAACATTTGGCTTCTCAGTAGTATTTGCAACTATAGCTGATGAGCCCCCTCTAAACTGTGATCGCACATTTTGATCTTTTTCCATTGCTTCTAGCACAGGAACTTTTCCCTTTGTAAACCAATCAAAATGGTGCAATGCCTTGACCTCAATTATGGCAGGTGATAAAGGGTGCAATGAGAACCAAGCCTGCATGGGATAATAAGTCTTCCTATCTGTAATTATGTGCAGAACAACTTTCTGAGGTCGCAAACTGTTGCGAATGAGTGATGTTGCAACTACTGAGGCGGCGAGCACATTGTCTGAGGCAAGGACAAAGTGGAAGTAGGAGTTGTCAACAAGGGCAGGGACAAGTTCTGCAGAGGGTAGCTGAAGCCGTGCTGCTGCATTGTTGGTGTGCTCATTGGCCAACCTCAAGTCAAGGCAGTGAAGTTGTTTGGGTATGCTGCTTGATGCTACATGACGATATAAATATTCTTGGATTTTGGCTGTTCTGGTCCTTTGCTCCATAAAGGTTACCTACGAAAATTTTCAGAATTTAAGTGGAGACTTGAACTGGGAAAACTGTTACTTGTGCATATTATTCTTCTAATTTCCTCTAGATTGAAAGACTGGGAAAATGGTACCATTTCTCTTAGTTTAATTGCAAATGTCTTGGCATCATATCCACCTTCCTTCATTTGGGTCATGAACTCTTCTAAAGTCTGAGGAATATCAGACCTTCCCTCTAGCTCATCTTTGCCTAGGGGTTCATCTAATATTCCGTATATCACTTCTGGGACCTATAAGAAACCATTACCATTTTCAGCATCATTAGATAATTCTGCTCAATTAGCTACCATATGGATTCATATGCTGAAAATTTAATTAAAAGAGTTAAGGAGATTACATTTGACTCAAGACTTCTTCCCAAAATCTTTGGCTTCAGTTTTATTCCCAGGCAACCTGCAAATTTTAATGTTTAGTAAATCAAAAGGTCATGTATACAAAGAAAGGAAGACAAGATGTTAATTCATTACCATGGTTTTTAAGTTCTTTTAATTTATAAAAGCCCCATTAATCAATAAAAAGTTTGAATACAGCTGAATAACTACTTTTAAATAGTGAAAAGTCCAAAGATATACTTTGATATATTGAAACTAGAAGTTTTATTCACCCTGCGGTTTATCCTTTTGTGTGTTTTAGGTTGTTGACTTCATGTGTATACATGTGTGTGTGTGTGTGTGTGTGTGTGTGTGTGTGTGTGTGTGAGAGAGAGAGAGAGAGAGAGGTTGATAATGTACCTATGGAAGAGCACTTGTTTTCTCCATCAATGCCATCCACTGCTGTCAAAACAAACACAAACCGAAGAAGAAACGTGAAGAACAGAAGTGAATAGAAGAGCATCCGATAAGAAAGCCTCCTTGATGCAACCTTCACTTTGATAAATTCCTTCAACCCTTTTCCAGGAAGTACAGTGACATGCCTCAAACTTGGTGATATCTGCAGCAACATTTTGTCCAAAAACACAAGAAGGCAAGGCAACACCAAAAGCAGAAGCAACAACAGTGCCTTAAGTCCCTCCTCTTCAACAAGTAGTAGTAGCAGTAGTTTTAGTGTATTTCATTTGGCAATTCACCATCTGATCAACAACAAAGCAGAAAAAACTGCAAGAGCCCACATCAGGTTATTCTGTAAAAGGAAGGTCTTGATGGTGCTTAAGGACTTAGGGTTGCTGTCTTTCACCTAACCTTGCTTAGCATTTGGGACAGGCATGACAATGGGGTGTTTGAAGGCTTTTAATGTTGTTGTGGAGAGCTATGAGAGGAGGGGGTTGTTAAGGAGAAAGAGACATGGGACTGATAAGGACGATGTTGTTTGTTTCAAGTTTTGGCTATTGACTTGATTTTTAAGGTGGCAAGTTAAGGAACAAAGAGTAGAAAATTAAATACAAAAAACTTTGGCGTATGCTTGGCTTTGCCTCCACATGAAGTTGTTTTGTTTGGCATGTAGAGAGTTTAGAGTTTGGAGACTCTGACAGAACGGAACTTCTACATGGAAAATGACTGCCTTTCTTTCTATCTCTAGTGTGTGGGGTTCAGAATGTGGTTGTTGGAGTGAAAATTCAGAAAACATTAATTCTATTTCTTGAAAGAAAACTAATATTTTTTTGATTTCATTACGTGGAATATTGATTTCTTGCTGAATATGATTCATTTCATTACTAATCTTGATTAGTTCTGCAGTTATTTTTATTATTTTTCCTTTTTGAAAATTATTTATCATAAAATACTAACAAGGATTTGAATGTACAGAAGCTTTATTTTATGTGGATATACGTTGCACATCTTCTGTTATGATAAAAGGAAAAAGTTAAAATGTTTACCAAAAAAAGAAACCTACATAATCAGAAGTGGGTTGGTAATGAAAGCTTTGGGACGTTGGGTAATTTGCTCAAGTTTTAAATTAAAACTGATGTAATTAAGTTTTCAGAATTTTTGTCAGAATGAATTGACATTATTGTTGAATCATAAATGATTATGATCCCAATATCTGAATCTTAATTTGACGAACTTTAAGTGAATTTTGTAAATTTGTGACTATATAGCATTAGTCATAAAATTTTATAAATTCCACAACAACAAAAGAAACTTGGGCGTTAAATATTTGGACAAGATCTCCTCAGTAATAGTATTATCTCTAAAATAATTAAGGACTTTTACCCTTAATTTAAATTAAAATAATGTTAAATTGTTAAGTTTGAGCATAATCACACTATTATTTAGTCGCTTGATATATAATTCTATTCAGTAGAACTTTTCCTCATGGAGAAGAGGATGGAAAAGACAAAATCAGCACATGTTCATTGCAATCTCTTACCTGTCTATACTATGGGGCATCAACTAGTGTTGAACAGAATTGAAAAATGATTGACGTGTCACTTGTGCACATGAACAAGATTTTCATGGTAGATAGACAGAAATAGACAGTCCAAGATTGGTATATACCTATCTTACATCACACCTTCTTACGAATGAAAAATGGAACAGTTAGTATTATTTTAACGGGGCAAGGAGGGAGAATCCATATAATAGGATTAGAGTGTATAAACCCTGTCCTTGCTCCACCAACAAAGAAAGAGGAGTGTAAATAAAACATTTTTTAACATTTTTTTAATACATTCTTAATTATTAGTTAAGTTTTTTTTTAGTTATAAAAAGTATGAAAGAGAATAATTAAATTAAATGTAAGATTCACATATTTTTATGATTTTTAATAAATTTTAGCTAATAGATAAGAATATGTTAAAAAAATATAATATTAGTATTAGATTAGTAAAAAAAATTGATTTTAGTACTACTGTGAAATTTGTATGTTGTTGGCATAGCACACAGGGTAGTTTATGGAAGATAGCACAGATAGAAGATAGAAGAACAACTACAGGATCCCTCACCTTTTTGCAGATTGTGTGGATTAAATTGGCCAAGCATGCACTTGACGAAATCAAAATTCCGAAGTCATGAGCATCATTTTACTTTTAGCTTGAAATGATTTGTTCAATGACAAAAAGTATAAAGTAATAATCACCATTGATTAGAATAAATAAATAAATATATATATATATATATATATATATATATAAATATGATTAAAAACTATTATTTATTTTGTATTTTAGTTCTAAAATAAAAGATAAAAAGAAAAGGGCATGAAATTAGTGGATATGTTATAAATATTCTATAAGTATAACCATTGAATGTTTATTAATGATGCGAATATTTACGTGGATATATTATGTTAAAAAAAGAAGAAAGTTGCTTGACTATTATTTCAACTGCTATGTTGATGTGCTAACCGAACTGAAAACCACATGGATTGCTACTGTTGTAGAAAACCACATGGGCACAATGAAAATCTAGTTTACAAGACTCAGCTTAATGTTCTTACACTTCTTGGTCTTCACTTTTCATGTATCAATAGTATACATAAATTTATAAGTTTAGCTACTTTTAAAAGGAGGAGAAAAAAGTTAACTAACATTGAACAACTGATGTATGACAATTGACATGTAGCACAGGACAAAAGCATAAATATAAGTAAATCAAAATTGATGGGTTAACTATCAAATAGAATATATATATTTTAACAACCTTCATTCACATAGAACAAAATTAAAACGCTTTTATGGCTTTTTTACCAATAAAATTCTTGTTTTGAAAATGTCATGGCTTTGTTTTTTAACATTTGTAGAGCCAACCTTTCAAGTCTTTAAAGACACTCATGACATTGGCAGCAGCCAAGACTATCAATTTGTGCTGAATTTGCATCCAAGTATGCTACAGAAGGTAAAATGTCCAAAACAGAGAAGTTCTTAGACCAGTTTGACTTGTAAAACACAAATTCTAGAAACATGCATTATTATGATTTCAAATGCTTTATTTGCACGTCTACAATGTAGGGACTCAGATTTCGTGATTTGGCACTATGCATAGGTCAGTTTTTTTTTTTTTTCTTTTTAAAAAGCATAATGAAGCCTGAGTTTTTTGTTTATGATATTTTGCACTTGCTTCATATACCTTCTTGAATTTGAAATTGGCCTAACTCAACCTCTAAATTTAGTTCAAGTTGATTATATTGGCAAAATTCGTGGGCCAAATTATTTCTTCTTCTTTTTTAAGATTCAATGGCGATCTAATATCAGATTTATATGCTTTGATACTATCTTGATTTAACTCAATTCTTAAAGCTAATTTATAAGGTAAGAATTCACTTAACCTTTATAATAAGTTTTACTTTGATCATATATATAATTAGTGGAATCTGAACATACATACATAAACTAGTAATATGATTTCAAATTTAATGGAGACAAGTGATTGTATATGTGGATGCAATTGAACCTGTGGCCTAACCTTCACTCTCTACTTAATCATAACAAACCCAAAATCCTTGAATGCTGGAAAATAGGCACTAGCTGTTTGCATGATCAGCAAAAGATGAGAAAGTGGGATAATCTGAAGCTAGTAATGTGGAGAAGATTGAAAAGTTTAAAAGCGTTCAACATGATAACAAGTAAGAAATTGTCTCGACTAAGAAAGAATGCAAAACTGTAGCCACTAAAGTGAAAATTTACCACTTGAATTTCATCTGCATTCATCTTAACACAATTATTTATTTAATTAATCTTTTGTTCCCTTAAATTAAATCATGTGTGATTTTGATATTTCAAGTTTTCTTAATTAATTAATTAATTCTCTCTATTTCTAATAAGTAAAACAACCTTTATTAGTTTTCTTCTACTTAAAATGCTCACTTTATACTCAAAATTTTCACAATTTGAATAACTTTTACTAAAGGTAAATTGAACTCAAAATGTTTCCGATGAATGACTTGATGCCATCGTAAAAATAGTAGATTTGTATAACTTGAAAATATGAAAAGCAAGAGCAGCTCTGTTTGATATGAATCTATTTGTACTTATCATTTTAAATTAATGTTGCTATCGTGTCTAACTAAGATTGGAAGTTAAGCAAAGCCTAAGCCATCCTGAGCCTAAAAATAAACTATACATTTTCGGGAATTAAACCTCTCACAAGATAAATTAAGTTTATTAATAATTAAATTTTAAAAAAATCATTCCTACATAATGTTTTTTTATTGTATGTCTATATTTCGATCTCGATCCTTTACAAATGAAAATTTAAAAATAATGAATAAGGTAAATAAATTTAAATTATAATAAAAGAAATTATTAACATTTAAATAGAGGGTAACCTTAAAAAATAAGAGAAGGGAGAAATTTTAATAGAAAAATAAAATAAAATGTTTTAATAGAAGTAAGAGGAGGTGAGAAAAGAGAAGAAAATATAAGGAATTACAAAATTGATTTTTTTTACTATTTTATAGGATTAAATTTAAAATAATTTACAAAAAAATGTTAATGAAAAATAAAACACCGATTTGAAAATTTTTTAAGAGTTTAAATTTAAATAATTTTATCGCGACTTGAAAATTGACAAAATTATTTTACATTTTTTTACGTAAAATAATTATAGCAGTTAATATTAAGTAAAATTAGTGATTCTATTTTAAAAAAATAAAAGTATCTTTTAATTTTTTTAAATATTTTAATAATTATAATTTTTAATTTAAAAAACATAAAATACACTTTTAAATTTATAGACACGATAATAAATACTTTAAATTTAGTATAATGTTAAAAAAATTATATTACTAAAAATTAAAAATCATCTTAGATATATATTTTTAAATAATTTATAAAAATAATAATTTTTTAATTATATAATAATTTATAATTAAAGAACAATATAAAAAATCTTTATATTCTATGCTCTGACAGAAAGTGAAATCGCACATATAACATTAATATGTTTTGTAAGCCTTACGAAACTTGCAACTCTCCTTCTCCCGCTAAAATTAACCCCCACTCGCACGTGCCACACGTACCTCCTTCCCCTCTCCTCACAGCACACACACTCTTCCGGCACGTGGTTTTGCTGCAACAAACCACGCCACCTCCATACACTGTTTTCTAAGTTCCTCAAAAAAAAAAAAAAAAAAAAAATCCAAATGCTCTCGCCCCACCCGAATGCCCCCATCCAAACCCGATTAAGCAATGTATTTTTCGTTTTTGCATTTCATTACACATTGCGATCTGACATATATACATATATTGTCGGTTACGGTTTTGTCGTGAGTTGTTTGCCGGAGACACGGTTTTCGAAGCTTTTCGTTCGGGGTTTTCCCGAAGCTCGATCCGAACGAAGGAACGAAGGTGAGGCATGGAGTCGATCCTGGGAAGAGCTCTGGAGTACACTCTCAAGTACTGGCTTAAGTCATTCTCCAGAGACCAGTTCAAGTTGCAGGGTCGCACCGTTCAGCTTTCAAACTTAGGTCAATTCTTTAGCATTTTCGTTCATCTTTATTTTGAAACTAGGGTTTATGATAGTTGGGATTGGTTGATTTTGAATTTTTGAGTTTTGCTTTCAGATTTGAACGGGGATGCATTGCATTCCAGCGTTGGATTGCCACCCGCGCTCAATGTCACCACAGCCAAAGTTGGCAAATTGGAGATTATGGTTTGTCAATTCTCACTCTCACTAATTTGGCTCTTTTTGCTGTTTGGTTCCCGATTTGTCTTCTCATTTTGACGATTTATATATGATAGTAATTATTAGTGAAAAAAAAAATATTGGCTTAAAATAATAACAAAAGGCAACTCAAATGCATCCTTACGTTGTCTTGTCTGACCTTCTGCTCTATATATGTGTGTACATGCATGTATGTATATTACCTGATTGAGTGCAATGTGTGTGGCTTTCTAGCTGCCGTCAGTGAGCAATGTACAGATAGAGCCAATCGTTGTGCACATTGATAGGCTTGATTTGGTTATCAAGGAGAATTCTGATTTCGAACAATCTGAAACTCCAACCAGGTAGTGATACTAGTGAAATCAGTGTCTAGCCGATTATTATATGTGAGGAATCTTGTTGTGTGACTCTTCTTCTGTCACTTATTACGTTATTTTTTTTTCCTTGTATGCAGTTCCACATCATCAAGTGCCTCTGTCAAGGGTAGCGGATATGGTTTTGCTGATAAGGTTTGACTCTTGCATCTCTAAGCCTAAATAGATTTGTATACGTAAATGATATCCTTATTCTATTAACTTTTGGTAGCACTGTTGGGGGGGGGGGGGGGAGAGGAGAGGGGGGATTTAATTTATTCACTTCACCCCTTCATGGGTCCTTTTCTTTTCCCCCTTTTCCTTCCAATGAAGCTTCTGTCACTTGTCAGGAGAATTTAAAGTAACATATAAAAAAAAGTAATTTCATCCTGAAAAGTGGCAACTTGTGTTGATTGGTCCCTAAAAGTTTGTGTGCATATATTCTAGTCCTTGAATCTGTCAACTTCATGACAAATTGGTCCTTTCAATGTGAAAGTGACTGAATTTGAGGAATAAATTTGTCATTGAGTTGATAGATAAGGAGACTAAGTTGTCATGAAGTTGATAAATTTGGGGACTAAGTTGATAGAGAAGGATCAATTTGTCATTAAGTTTGACAGATTTGGGGAATAAATTGGATACACGCAAACTTTCAAGGATCAAATGAACATGGATTGCTTCTGTGAAGGACAAAATTGTTTATTGTCACAATGTCACTAAAAGTAAAGATGTAGATGGAAATAATTCCTGACTATAGAGTGAGGTTATTATTTATCAAGTAATCCCTCAATTTGGTCCTTCACATTTACATATGTCACCACATTAGCCCTTCAAAAGTTTTGGTCACCAATTTAATCACTCAAAGATTCTCTGTGTCACTACTTCAGTTCTTTAAACTTTTGTTCTACCAAATTAGTCGCTCAAAGATCTAAAATGGAGCTCTAAAATGGTGACAAAATCTGTATGAGGAATTACTTTGGTGGTAGATTCAATTTTTGTGGGATTAATTTGGGAGCAAAATCTTTCAAGGATTAAAGTGGTGATAAAATGAATTTTTGAGGAATTATTTTGGTGACAAAATTTTTGGAGGACTAATGTGGTGAGACTTGTAACTTTGGATGATCAAATTAAGGTACGCTCTTATTTGTTTGACAACTCTAGAGGAATAGATTAAGGGCTGGTAGGTCCTAGCAAATGCCAGTCACTTGTTGATAGGTATACACATTGAGTTTGAATATTTTTCATTTCTATGCACTGTGGGCAACTGTCAGATTGCAGATGGAATGACTATACAGATCCACTCAGTTAATCTATTGCTTGAAACACTTGGAAGTGCTAGTTGCCAAGGAGGAGCTACGTGGTAAGTTTTTCTTACCAGTTCTCTGAATTGGGTAGCTTCTTCAGTTTATTTATGCTCTACAATCACTCTCAATTGTTATTATAGATTTAATAAATTGAAAATTGATATGACTATATTAGTATCTCGTTCTCTGCTGGGGTTGGTACTTGGTACAGTATTTAAACTTCTATTTTAAAATACTACAGATGTCTGTCGTTCTATACCTTTGGCATAAATCTGATAAATTATATCTGTTTGACTCAAAGACTATTCCCGGAAAGGCCAAAACCTATTTATAAGCGTCCCACTTCTCTGCCTCTGGTTGTAGGGCACCACCTATGGCATCTATCACGATACACAACCTTTTATTGTATACCACAAATGAAAGCTGGAAGGTAATTATGTTGAGATTCATTCTTCAACAAATTTCTGCTTTCTGGGCTCTTCTAGAGTATAAAATGTATTGATTCTTTTTATTTTGTTATCAGGTTGTAAATCTTAAGGAGGCTCGGGAGTTTTCCAGTAATAAGAAGTATATATATGTTTTCAAAGTACTATGCCTCCTTTCATTTTGTTTTGTGATGTGTGTGTGTGACCTTTAGAGCCTACTTGTTGCAACTATTTCTTTTTATTTTTAATGAAAAAAACACTTTTGCTGGGAAAATATATATATATTTTTATATTTTGAGAAATTACTTTGAGTATCTTCTGGAAAAATGCTGCAATGATAACTACCTTATTAGGAGTGCTTTGTGTAACATAACCAAACAAAAAATAGATGCTTTACGTAAAATCTCTAAAACAAAAACTTTTCTATACATTCTTAAAATCACTTTTTTTTAAAAGCTTAAATAAATGGGCCTTTTTGTGATGATTCACTTGTCTTAATATTGCTTGTATAAATTTTGTTTCATCCGTCTCATCATAAATTAGCATTTATCATTCTATAAGAATGTGTTTATGCTATGTTTCTCAGTATAGAAGATGCTATGTCAGTCGTACTTTTATTACCACATAATAATTGTAACTTTTTTTTTTTTTTGTCTCTCTTCAGAAACTAGAATGGGAATCTTTGTCTATTGATCTTTTGCCTCATCCTGACATGTTCACGGATGCTACTTTAGGCCATACTCAAGAAGGAGAAAACCTGAGAGATGATGATGGTGCAAAGCGAGTTTTCTTTGGAGGCGAGCGTTTTATAGAAGGAATATCAGGAGAAGCTTATGTAATGAATATAGTTTCTCCAATTAGTTTTGATAAGTGTTCTATGTTGTCTAGAATTTTATGTGTCATGGCTCATGAAGTACAGCCTGAACTTTATATTTACTAGATCACAGTTCAGAGAACTGAATTGAACAGTCCACTTGGGCTTGAGGTTCAGTTACATGTCACAGAAGCTGTTTGCCCTGCATTAAGTGAACCGGGTGAGTGAAAGACAACTTGTCAGGCCTGTAGGATCCATATAGAATTGATATTGAAGACAAAAATGTGACACGAGGTTGATATAACTTATATGAACAGGACTCCGTGCACTTCTCCGCTTTATGACAGGAGTATATGTTTGTCTAAGCAGGGGCAATGTAGCTTTCAACGCCCAGCAGGTTTCATATTACCTTCTTCCTCCTTTGATCAAATTATTTTTTTGCAGTTTGTTACAAACTCTAGTATAATTCAAGCTTTCTGAGTCTTCTCTGTTTTTGAGTCAATCATGACAGCGATCAACCGAAGCTGCTGGGCATTCTCTTGTCTCAATTGTTGTTGACCATATATTTCTTTGCATTAAAGACTCTGGTATGTCTTTATCCTTATTTATTGATATGTTGATTTATATCTCATTTAATCATTATATAAATATCATATAGCTAATAGTTTTATGTCTAAGCTTAGCATGCAAAATGATCCTACAATTGGCATTAACTTGCAGAATTCCAGCTTGAGCTTTTAATGCAGTCCCTCCATTTTTCTCGGGTAATTTTCCCTTGATAATATTCTTTTAATCTTGTGTGTTTTTCTCTCCTTATACTATTTCATATTCTTCTTTTTGGATGTGTCCATTTTGCTTATTGAACTTATTAAATATAAGTCAAGAAAAGAGGGAAGAGAGCAAGGAGGTTCTGAATATTTTTATATTAGACTGATAGGTTTATGTTTAAATTACAAGGAATTGATACATATTACTTAGAATTAGGACCTGTACTGATGTAGTGCTACACTCAAGCCCACTAATGAGACTCCTATCCCTATTTAAACAAGGAAACATAATAAAATTAAAAAAAAAAAAAAAACTCTGGAGAGTGCCTTCTCATTAGATGACTAATTGATTCTGCAATATATTTGAAAAATCATCTGAGATATTTTGTCAATAACTTTGATACTTTACTCTTCAATATTGGTGCATCCTTAGTCTTATATTATCCCTAATAGGTACTAAGGAACCTGTAATGCCTTAAACAATTATTAGAACTTAGTGCAGAACCTTATATTTGATGCTGAAACAGTAGTAGTTCCACAGCTTCTACTTCTTCACACTGAATCACAGATTGATAGATAGATCTATACACAGACACCCATGCACACTTCCTCTGGAGGTCTGTTGGGCCTTGAGCAACAATATAGGAGATAACTCTAGCTATTACCTGTGATTATTTCTAAATCGTTTAGAAATGAGAGGAAACAAATCGAAAACATAAAATTGTACACACTACACTTATGTGGTCTATGTGAATATGGAAAGATAAATTTAAAATTTTAGGTATCATCTAAGTATTTGTTGAAAGACCAAGTGAGGGAAAGCATCTTTTACTACTCATTTTCTTTGATGATTTATGCTACAAGCTCGTGTGTTTTCACTTGCTGATTCAAAATGCCAAATGGCTTTGATAAATATGCACATCTTGTCCTCTCACCAATGTTTGGTTGTTGACATGTTTGTAGTCCCTTTATCCTTGCAGGTCAGTCTTTCTGAAGGAGATAATGACAGTAACTTAACCAGAATTACAATTGTTGGACTATTTTTGAGGTTTGTGTTTTTGTTTTCTACTTCTATATTACTAGTGAAAGGATGAAGTGTTCTGTTTGTGCTCATGTTTGTTGGTGGCAGTTCGGGTGTTTGTCACTCTATGTATCTGCTCGTACAACATAAGTGAAAACTGGGAACTCTCTAGTCTAAAAATATTGCCAATCAGTGGTGGCCTATACAGCAGCCACTGCTTTTGTGGTTAGATATCCTGGATTAACTCTTGAGCAGCTAATGCAATTGAAAAGGGAAAAAGGAATGGAAAGAACCTCAAATATTCTTAAGTAGTATCCAATTCCCCTACTTGATTATTTTGGTAGTTCTTGATAGTTGATAGTTGTAATGTTGAAGTCATTTTCTGAGTTGACTGTAGTAACTGGAGTTACAGAACTTAATTGTAGCTTCTGTTCTCTGAAATGCAGGGACACCTTTTCACACCCTCCATTTACCTTAGTGCAACCATCAATGCAATCTGTCACAGGAGATGCTTTACAAGTGCCAGAATTTGGTATTAAGTTATTGATTTAATTTCGATCCATTGATAACTGTAAAATTTTGTATACTATTATTAATTTATGTATTGTAATTTAATAAAAATTTTGACTATGATAATAACTAGCTTTTATCTAACAAGTCAAATTTGATTAATGATGTGGCAATTCATGATTGAGAAGATTATATGGACCCTGGGTCAAAATTAAACTTTTTATTACCTCATATTCTTGAGAAGATTATATTGTTTTAGCAATAATCCCACTTGCTTAAGTAAATGCTTTTTATTCTTTCTTTTGGCAGCTAGAAGCTTCTGCCCTCCAATATATCCTCTAGGAGATCAGCAGTGGCAATTAATTGAGGGAACTCCTCTACTGTGCCTCTATTCCCTTCAGCTCGTGCCTTCTCCACTTCCACCATCCTTTGCATCTCAAACAGTTATTGACTGTCAACCTCTTATGGTGTGTTCCGCTGTGCATGTTCTTTCAACAAATGGCCTGCTAGTGCATTTATGTAAATTTTATTTTGCCAATTATGTTATTTGATGATATTCTTTATTTCCAATTCCAGATTCACCTCCACGAAGAATCCTGCCTGAGGATATCATCTTTCTTAGCTGATGTTATTGTTGTCAATCCTGGTGAAATTTTACCAGATTTCTCACTAAAATCTTTTATTTTCACTCTCAAGGGACTGGATATTTCAGTTCCTTTGGTTAATACCCAACTGGATATTTCTAAAACCATCATGGAAAACACAGTCAAGACCACCTTTACTGGAGCAAGGCTTCATATTGAAAACCTTTTCTTTTTAGATTCACCATCAATGAAGTTAAGAATACTGAACCTGGAGAAGGATCCCGCTTGCTTCTGTCTTTGGGAAGATCAACCAATTGATGCTTGTCAAAAGAAGTGGACTGCCAGAGTATCCCAGCTTACTTTATCTCTGGAAGCAAGTACTGGCAAGCTTGGACATCAGAGTTCTCTTGGATGGACTGCTGGACTGTGGAGATGTGTTGATTTGAAAGATGCTCACATAGAAGTGGCTATGGTAACTGCTGATGGAAGTCCGATGTTGAAGGTTCCTCCTCCCGGGGGTATTGTGAGGGTTGGTATTGCTTGTGAACAGTATCTATCCAACTCTTCCATTGAACAGTTATTTTTTGTCCTGGATCTCTATACTTATTTTGGGAGATTTAGCGAGAAAATAGCGATAGCTGGAACAAGAAAACATTTGAAGGGTGTTAGGAACAAATCTTTTAGTGGAAAGCTGATGGACAATATTCCTAGTGACACTTCTGTATGTTTGGCAATAAAAAACCTCCAACTTCAATTTCTTGAGTCATCTTCTGTGAATGCTGTAGGAATGCCTCTACTACAGTTTGTCGGAGATGATCTGTATGCTAGTGCCACTCATAGAACCTTTGGTGGTGCTATTGTTGTTTCATCCACTTTAACTTGGGAAAGTGTTGAGATAGATTGTGTGGATACTGAGGAGCACTTGGCATGTGAAAATGACTCTTTCTTTAGTACTGGAGAAAAAATTTGCTCAATTAGTGATAATGGATACCCTCAACTGAGACCTATTTTCTGGGTTCATAGCAACAAGAACTATCTTTTTAAGGAAAATACCCATTCATTCCGGTTTCTGGACATAACTATGGTGCATGTCATACCATTTTGTGAAGTAGACTTGGAGTCGCATTCTTTGAATGTCTCCGCTTTTGTATCTGGTGTTCGTCTTGGTGGGGGAATGAACTACACTGAAGCCCTCCTGCAACGATTTGGAATACTCGAGTCCGATGGTAGTCTAGGAAAGGGTCTGTCTAAATGGTTGGAAAACATACAAAGAGGACCATTGGCAAAACTTTTTAACACAATGCCTATAATTGTTGATAATTCAAAAGATGGTATGAATCAGTCTCTTGTTGTTTGTTGTAGATGATGCATTTGCTTTATATAGTAAAGTTGTGTTTTATTTGTCACTTTAAAGTGTAGTTTTCTTACTAACCCTTTTAACACCAGTTGAAAATATGAGAGAAGGAAATGAAACCAGTTCTCCACACTTGAAGAAGCCAGATAATGTGGATGTAACTATAGAATTGAGAGATTGGTTATTTGCCCTTGAAGGTGCACAAGAGATGGCTGAAAGATGGTGGTTCTCAAGCCTCGAAGATGTAAACAGAGAAGAGAGGTGTTGGCACACTGCTTTCCGTACTTTACAAGTAAATGCAAAAAGTAGCCCAAAGAATGCTCCAGACAGAAAATTACAATCACATAGAATACGACCATATCCTGTGGAACTGGTTACGGTAAATAGATGCATCTTTCTTCATTCTTCAAGATTTAACGCAGTGTGTAAGTTGTGCTTGTGCCCCACACTACGGGGGAATTAAGGTTTTTCTTGCTGCTTTCAATAATGAAGTCAGGTTTATTGGTTTACACTAGAAATTATGCAGAAAAACAGTATCAAATATTTTGGCATTCAATCAAGCAGTATATTCCAGAGAAATTTTGCATTCTATGATTCATGATGCGAGTGATCAAGTGTATATTGGGAACCTGGCAAACTAATTTGCAAATGAAAACCCATGGCCTTCATCAGTTAAATCCACTTAAACCAGACCAAAATGGATAATATATCTTCTTGTTTGTTTTTTTTTTTTTTTTTTTTTAATATTTGCTTTTACTGAAATGGATCATTATTGATTAATTACAATTGTGTTGGAATGTAAATAGCTGTTTGTCAAACAAAAACAATATGTCTTATGAAAGATATATTTTGACTCGTCTTTTATTAAATGCCATAGAAAATTTATTAGCTTTTCATGCATGAAGTCGATTATTTTTCAATATATTCTTTATTTTTTTTATTTGGAGTCCTGAATTTTGATTCATTTTAATCATTTTAGTTAACAAGAATTTATGATGATTTAACTCTGGTAATAACAAAATTTATTTTTTTCTTTATTATTATTCTTATTTACGAAATTTATACACATAAATTTCAAATTATGAATTTATACCACATGAAAGAACTAATTGGCCAAGCTTGTATTTCATACTTCTGATCTGTTTAAATGAAATATTTTGTTTTCAATTTCATAAAAGGTCTCAAGGAACTTCTCTTGCGCCCAATTAGCATTCCAATTTCAAAGTTTAATATGGTTTATTTTTCAATTCTCAATTGGCTATCTGTTAGCTTAGCCTTATATTACCTTCGCCCACTTAAATGTATGAATATGAGTTCATTGTGTATTGTCAATGTGAATACGGAAGTTTTTTCTTCCTCAATAAAATGCACAAATTAAATGAAAGAAATACAGGAAATGTGTACCCTGGAGATATGAAATGTTAGCTGTACTCAGATACTCATGTTTGATTTTATATGCATTTTTATTTGTGCATCTTACCTATTGATCAGAATTTTCAGGTTGTCGTTAAAGAGCTACGGATCATGAAGCCCCATACCCAAAAAAACATTCCTCCTTCATTGTTAACTGCAAATGGAGTTGAAGAGTTCACTGACAAAGTTGGTGGTATTGATCTTGAAGTGCGATTGATAGTATGTGAGGATAATGAAGCTGATGAAATGGTTGATTGGGAAGTGGAAAACCTAAAATTCTCTATAAAGCAACCGGTCAGGGAAATTTTTGTATGAAGTTATGTGGTCACTCTCTCTCTTTGTTGAAAGATTGTGTGGGATGACGATTTTACTATGCAGATTGAGGCAGTTATAACAAAGGATGAGGTCCAACACCTAACCTTTTTGTGCAAATCTGAAATAGATTCCATAGGCCGGATAACAGCTGGAATTATACGGCTGCTAAAGCTAGAAGGTTCTGTTGGCCAGTCTGTATTGGATCAGCTTGGCAACCTAGGTATACTGTCAAATTTTCTTACAAATACAAATCTTTTAACTAGAAATAATTTCTTATTCTTTTAAGCACTGTAAAAATGTTATGATGATATGCAGGAAGTGAAGGTTTCGACAATATTTTCTCTCCTGAGAAGCTCAGCATAGATGGTAGTGTTTCTAGCCGAGATCTCTCTCCATTACCAAACCTGATAAAAGAAAGCCAATGCAAAACTATGGAACCAACATTAACTTTGCTAGAGGAAGCAGTTATAGATTCACAAGCTGAGATTAATGCGCTGATCTCTGATATTGGTACTACTGAGTCTTCCTGTCAGCACCTCACTGTGGTCAAAGAACTCGGTAAAAAAATTGAGGCGATGCAGGCTTTATTGACGCAATTACGAGATCAACTTTAAGTGCTTTGTGTCATTTTCATGTAATTAGCAATAAATATTTCCATTCAAAGTTATAATTCTTTTGTATATAACATAAAAGTCCATAGGCTGACTGTTGTACAGAATAGGCAGAAATTAAGGCTGCCCCCATTTATGTATTAGCAAGTTTTGTAGCCTTTATAGCCTCGTGGAATGAGAGAAAGCAAATCTGCA